TTAACTATATAAGTTGTTTGATTCTCATCCATATGGCATTTCCCCAAGATCCATGCACACACGCACACACATCCCGTGACACCTCGGTAGGTCTACAGGAGGGGAGTCTTCCTTGATTTCCAGCTCTTATCTTTCCCTGTCTCTGGCCTTGTTCCTCTGTGCTAGACATCTGTGTGCAGAAGCCCCATGAATGTAATTTCATTGGGGTGACCAATTACTAAGGAGCTGTGACACATTTAATTATTACAATGACTGCCCTGGTCCCAGGTGAATAAGTTAGATGACCTGTTTGTTGTTAATCCTCCCCTTTATAGATTTTTCTGAGCATGAATTTGTTTTTGTTTTAGCCAAAGGTCCAGATGTTTATCTTCCACCATTCACCATTTTCAGTGATGTGTGCTTATTGCCCCTTTATTATTCTAACTGTACAAAGCTAAAATATCCATTAAAATACATATTACATTTTAGGTCCTAAATTAAGCTCCTGTTAGAGTTAGTTTTAAATATAGGCTCTGACATTTGGAAAAGTAGAAAGTACAGGTAGTAAGTCATGTTTAAGAGAATTTAAGATGTTCTCTCTGAGCTTCTGGGACCACACATTCTCCTGGGTTTGTCCAGCTTTATTTATTGCTCCACTCCTTGTTTTGATCTTCCCTGTCTTCTTCATCCCTGTTCTAGTTATCTGTTTCTGGAAAGAATCTCACGATGTTGTGAGTCAGGAATTCAGGCATAGCGCAGCTGGATGATTTTTCTGTTCCGAATGGCACTGATGGAGATCAGTCAGTGGTGTTCAGCTGACAGATGGACTGGTCTGTGTGTCCCAAGCTGATCTGCCTTAGCAAGGACAGTGGGAAGGTGGACTCAGCTGGTCCTTTGAGCTGGAGCACTTGTGCATGGCCTCTGCAGCATGGCATCCTTGGATAGTGGGATGTCATACTTGGCGGCACAGGGCTCCTCAAGGGAATGTTTCAGCAAACCAGGTGGAAGCTGCATGGCTTCTTATGGTCTAGCCTTGGATGCCAAATGGTGTCCCTTCTGTCATATTCTTCTGGTTAAAGCAGTCAAGCCCACCCAGATTCAATGGGAGGGGACCCAGACCCTATTTCTCAATGAGGGAGTGGGGGTTGATAGAAAAGAATCTGTGGCTGCGTCTGAAAACATGTTGGAGTTTTTGTAGGCCTCGGTCTTGGGCCCTCTTCTTTTTTCCACGTACACTCTCACCATGGATGATCTCATTTAGACCTGTGGCTTTAAATAACATCTCTGTGTTGGTAACTAACAAATATATACCTCTAGCCCAGCCCTTTCCCAAAGCTCCAGATTCTTTTGTTCAACAGACTATTGGATATTTCTACCCAATTCACAGGCATCTCAAACTTAACATGGTCAAACAGCTTTTGATTTGTATTCTGAAGACTAGTTCCATTCCCCCTTTTCCCCATATCAGAAAATGCCACCAACATCCACCCAGTAGGTCAACCATTTCATCCTTCTCTTTCCCTCAATCATGCATTTAACCCATCAACAAGTTGGCAACTCTCCCTCCAAAATACAACTCAAACCTGCCTGTTTTTCTCTGACTCATTTCCAAGTCCATGCTGCCATCATCTTCCATGGGCTTACTACAGTACCTTCTCCAATCTATCCTCCACAGCAACAGTGATCTTTCAAATATAAATCAGGTCATGCCAGCCCTCACATTGAACTCTCAGTGGCATTCTGTTGCTCTTCAAAGAAAATCCAAGCTCCTTGCCATGGCCTGAGGTGATCTGGCCCCTGCCCACTCCTCCAAGCTCACCTCCCATCACTTTCCTCATCCTTCCAACCACAGGCCTCCTTTCTGCTCTTCCTGCCTCAGGGCCTTTGCACTTGCTGTCACCTCTTCCTGGATGGACCTTCTAAGAATATCAATGACTAGTTCATTCTTCTCCAAATTTCAGTTCATGAAGCTCCTCCTTGACCACTTGATTAAAGTACTGTCCCTCTAACACTGTAACATTGGCTCATTTATTTCCTTCTTAGAAATGATCACAGCCTGTAATCACTTCATTTATTCTGTCTCTCACTGTCTCTTCTTTTCCAGAATGTAAGTGCTGTAAAGGCCAGAGTGTGTCTATCCTGTTCACCACTGTCCCGAGTGTACCCAAAGACTGCTTTGTAATATACCAGTTGGGTAATCTCAAAAAAGGCCTGTACTCTGCAGGTGTGTGGGCAATAGTCAAAAGTGAATCACATGGGAGAGACTGGTCAAGAAATTCTGGTTAAGGATTTTCTATTTGTAGATGCACTTTTTGCCTTGCAGATGGATGTCTAAATCTCTTATTTATTTTCTTCCCTTGAATGATGTACGGTACAAAACATGGGTTAGTTAATTCTGTGCCCCAGCTTTTCTATCAAGTGGGAACAGCCATAAATTATTTTTTCCATGTAAAGTAACTCATACAAAAATCAAATACAGTAGTTCACACTTTCCCCTCAGGAGAGCGTCTGAGGTCACATTCAAACCTATTGTGGTTTCGCATGGTCCTGGCCAGAGAGATGCTTACAAAACATGGGTTAGTTAATTCTGTGCCCCAGCTTTTCTATCAAGTGGGAACAGCCATAAGTTATTTTTTCCATGTAAAGTAACTCATACAAAAATCAAATACAATAGTTCACACTTTCCCCTCAGGAGAGCGTCTGAGGTCACATTCAAACCTATTGTGGTTTCGCATGGTCCTGGCCAGAGAGATGCTGAGGGATGCAGACTAACCAGGACAATCTCAAAAGGGTAGGGAAGACTCTGCAGCAATTCCGAAGAGCTCATATTCTGTTTTAAACCCAGCAAATTAGAAATATTTTTTCCTAATTTTCCTTATGGAAACTAACCCTCATCTCTTCGTGGTAGACTTTATCCGCTGCATTGCTGCAGCTTCACTGGTTATGTGAGGAGGGAAACGCGGGAAAAGGTGATAGAAAAAACAGACTGGATGATTCTTCCCTTCATCTTCCACCTTTTCAAAATTAGCTTTTGTGTTTACATGAGGGGCCATCTTGTGTCACGAGAGGTCTTAAACTGTAACAACAACAAAAAAAAAGCAAAAAAACTATACATAAACTTGCTTAGGGTTTTATTTATGATAACAATTGCTAAAATAACCAAATACTTTCCTCCTTGATTTCTTGGAGCTAAGGGTCATTATGTTTCCAGTATAAATAGAAAGCTTTCCAGAGTTCATGATCTGGTTATAATGTACAGTTAAGTGTACAGGGATAAAATGTCCCCTTTTCTCTTAGCTTATCGGCGCGTGAGTGGATAAGTGTCAGAATGACCACTTTTATGCAGTACCTAAGAAATAGCAAATAATCTTTTTGAGATAGGATTTATTACTGGCTCAAGCGGATTACTGAGGAATGTTGTTCTACTTTTCATGAAGTTCACAGGAACCAGAATAAAACTGAACTCAGATTTGAGACGTTTTCATCTGGAGCCCATCGTTCTATTAACAGCGGTACTTCATCTTTCTGATTTCCACGAGCAAATGTTATTCCATCCAAGTAACTTTTCCATATAATTGGAAATGCTCAAAAATAATTTTTGGTGTAAATATTCCTAATGTACCACCCGTTTTCCTTCTTTCTTAAATGGGGCCTGGTTCTCAGATTTGGCTGCACATAGGAGTCACCTAGAAAGTTTTAAAAACAACTGAGGCCCAGGTCTTACCCCCCTGAGGGCATGGCTGGGGCATCTGGAGTTTGAAATGCTCCCAGGTGGTTGCAGTGAGCATTGAGGTGGGGAAATAGAGTAACTGTGAACAAGCTAGGATAACACTGATTTTTTTTCACTGCTGAGGATACCTGGTATTCAGGACTTAAGCACTGGATTGACTGGCCCCAGGAGGGGAAGGCCCCATGTTGTAAGACAGTGACCACGTGTGGGGGTTGAAAGGAGGGGACAGATCCTTAAGGATTCAGGAACAGACTCTGCTGTGTGTTTGCCATCGAATGTGCTTACTCTTTAAGCTTTTTTATCTGAGGTTTTTCAACACTAAAAAATCTGATGAGAAATCAGAGCACTAAATATTTAGAATAAATAAATGCTAGTTTATGCATTTGAAAGGTAAGTGATCTTTTTATAACTGGACATCAGGTGAAGCTGGAAGTATTGATAAGATGGCAACTCAAGACAGCAGAAGACTTCTCTTTCTTTTTTTTTTTTTTTTTTGTCCTTTTTGAGACCGGCCGCACCGCGCTCAGCCAGTGAGCGCTGTGAGTGCACCGGTCATCCCTATATAGGATCCGAACCCATGGTGGGAGCGCTGCTGCTCTCCCAGCGCTGCACTCTCCCGAGTGTGCCACGGGCTCAGCCCAGCAGAAGACTTTTCTAATGACCATTTTTTGCTATAGAGCAATTTACAGATGAAAAAGAAGTTTTTTTAAAAAATGACATCTCTGGATGATGTCCCAAGTGAATGTTTGTGTCTTCAAAGATGTCTATACAAATACACCCAAAGAAACTTTCCTGAATTCCATGATCTCAATGAAGCACAAGATGTTAAAGCAGGAAGGGACCCTCTCACTTTAGGGGTAACCTCGACCTACTTTACCGCAATAAAAAAAAAAAAGACAAATTCGCATGTTGACTAATGCTATCTCATAAGTATGGTGTGTCTTCAGTTACAAGATGCTCTGAATTATATACATTTTAGAAAACTTTCCTATGTATAGATAAGTAATTTAAAATTGATTGTTAATGATGTTTGTGACCTTTATAGAGCTGGCCATGATATCCAAATATAACATTAAGTCTATGAGAAAGTTAGATTCACTTCCAGTGCCTTTCCCAATATACTAAGACACCACAGGCAGGGGTGTTTGCACAGACTCACGTAGTTTTGGGTTGCTCACTGTGGTTGGGGCAATTTTTGTAGAGAGGGCTGGTCCTGGACCCACTGTGAATGACCTTAGATTAGAGAAAGGTGACCCCCTCTGGGGTTCCAAAGCAAAGGTCTTTTTTTTATGACCAGTCAATCCTATTAGCATTTAAAGAGTGAAAAGGGAACACACAAATTGCACATGCACTATGACTAAAAGAAAAAAATTAATTTCACACCAATGACATTCAAATATGCAGTCTCAGGCACTTCCAAACTCCTCAAACTGATCCAAAAGCGATCGCCCTCTAATATTTTGGTGTCTCTTCAGTAAAAGACCAAATTGCTTAAATTTGGTCCCATAAAAATTATAGTCAGGCTGGAAGGGCTGGGGAACGCGGGGAGGGGAAGTGGTGGATTAATGGGTACAAAGCTCCACTGTCTTAAGTGAATCAAGGTACAGTATATGCATGTATTGAAACAACACAACCTACCTCACAAATACATACAAATAAATGTTAAAAAAAGTTATAGTCAAATTTCAGCTCACAATGTGCCTTAATTCTAGGGCTTTCCTAGAATCAAGGCAGCAATTATCTTCAAGGCTGGCTTTAACAGCCTCCCCCCCTCAATGATGAGGCAGCACCGTGGTCTCGACCTGCGACCTTCCTAGGGCAGGCAGAGGGGAGAAAGGGTGGCTTCATGAAGAGTGTGTTTCCTCCCAGGGGAGTCTTCTTCCTCCACCCCTTCCTGATTCTTCTTTAGAGACTCAGGAAGTTGACAGGCTGAGTACTTCTCGCTTAACTATTTTTCAAAGCAGTTCAGGAGGCTCTACCTGTAAATGTAGCTGGGAAACAGCGAGCGGCTGACGTTGTGCTCAGCCTACGAGGGCTGTGCCACCCCTCTTGAGGCATCGCATGATGAAAACCCCCAGGGCCACCAGGGGAATGCACATGATGGAGGTGGCCACAAGCAGCCCAATGATGGCCAGTGCGTACACGGGGTAATCCCTGGTCACCAGCTGGCCCTGGGGGGAGAAACTGAGCGTCAGCAGAGAGACCCTTCCCAGGCAGAGCCTTTGGAGAGCAGTGCCCCAGGCCTCAGGCCCCCGAAGTTGGTGGGAAGAGAGCATGTGGGCTGGGAACCCTTACACCTGGGCCACCCTGCCCCCTCAGCTCGTTGGCAAGCATGCCGGTAAACTAGTTCCCCTCATCTTTCTTGTCCATGTACCAGGAATAATAGCACCTACTTCAGCCAGTGTGTGCAGAGCTATTATTTAGAGCTACCCATAAAGAATAATCTCAAGAATAATAATGTGCCTGTTTGAGGCCCCTTTCAGGGCACCTACATGGAACTTCCTGTGATGATAGAAATGCTCTAGATCAGTGCTGTCCAATACGGTGGCCACCAGACACTGATGGCTGAGGAGAGGTGTGCTGCCCAGGAGGCGGGAACCAGCACCTCTGCAGCGAGCCCTCCTCAGCTTCCAGGGGAGGGCTCTCCTCACTGCAGCACACATTTAAAACTGCTATCCTGGACTGTAATTTTTAAGTACCTCGGTGATATTTCCATGTTGTGACAAACACTCACACCATGGAAATAATTCCTTGGTTTCAGAAAACAAAAGGCCCATGCTCATGAGTGACCTAGGGGCCCAGCACCAGCCCTGCAGAGACAGCAGCTACCTGGGTGGCATCCCAGGCTTGGTACTGCAGGGTGCCCTTGAGGACGTAGTCGCTCAGGTAGAAGATAAAGAGGCTGATGATCAGCAGCGGGCTCACGATGGCCCACATGGCCTTCCAGTACCAGTTGACAGCTTGACCGGTCATGGCCTTCAGGTCACTTTCAAATCTATGTGGAAAAAAGGGAAAGTCTGGATGACACATGTTGCTGGAGGTGAGGGGGTCCAGCCTACACATCCCTATTGGCTCAGGAAGACTGATGTTTGCACATGAGCACTGGGCCCCCCTCTGATACCTTCCCAGGAAAGGGGGTTTGGGGGTTGGGAGGGGAGAAGAGCTGAGGCTGCCCGAGAGGAGTGACAAAGTGACCACTCCACAGGTAGGCAGATATCAGAGACATGTTCCGGGTGCCGGCCCTCAGATGAAGGCTGCTGGCGTAGACCAGGAGGGCAGCTCCCAGGAATGGCAAGAGAAGGGGAACGCCTGCCAAGCCAGTTCTCAAACACAGGGGCCCCTACAGCAGCTTCGCCCTTCCCCTCCCACCCTGCTTGCCTAGCGGTGACTCTACTACCCATTAGAAATGCTCCCAGAGCAGAATCACTTCGTCCCTGAAGACCCGAGCAGGCTTTCCGGGACAGAGGGAAATGCAAGCCTTGGGCTGAAAGGACCTTAGCCCCGGTCTGTCAAAGCTGGCCTAGAGAAGCCAGGGCAGTGATTCCCAAACGCAGTTGCCCCCAGACCACCATCACGATTTCCATCATATCTGCGCACTGTCTTTTTTCTTTAAATTGATTCTTTTACATAAGTTTAGCAATAGCACAACAGTGTTCATTTTATCATGGATTTCACGGGCTAATCATATATTTTTCAAATACACACACGTGAATATGAAAAGTGTCTTCAGCACTTTGGGAGATGCTGGCCCAGGCAGTCTCCCCATTTCACAGGGGAAGAGACGGAGGCCCAGGCTGTGACTTGGCTTGCCCCAAGGTACCTGGCAGTGGCAGACCAGGCCCAGAACCTGGACTGGCCTCCTGCCTCCAGTGCAGAGGCAGCCTTGCCAGGAGGCACCGGGGCAGGGTGATGTGTGGCTGTCACCAGCTCCAGTCGCAGCCACCTGCCTTCCTTGGGTCCGTTGCACGTCCCGGGCGTCCCTATAAGGCTGTGTGGAGACTACTACCTGCCCTTGCTGCTGCCAACTTCACTGGACTCTAGGCTCTAGGCCACAAAGTCTCCAGTAGACACATGAATACCTGGGGCTTTCAAAACTATGCAGGTCAGAAAGTGTTGGGGGTCCTCTTGTCTCTTCACAGCACCCCTCCCCCAAACATTTCTGGATAGAGAAAATAGTAAAGATCCAGCTGCAGAAGAGCCGCAGGACACTGTTGCTGGGGTCACTAGATGGCGCTGTCCCCTAAGCAAGCAGAGGACCCTTCTCCTGGCCTCACCAGATCAGCTGCTTACAAAATCTCCCTCGTCACCTCCCACCACCCCCTTTTGGTGGACCTGCGTCCCCCACTCCCCCTCGTGACTGCCAATGGGCCCAAGGTTCTGTCCCTCTCTCCCCAGCCCTCTCTTTCTACCCTGAAACACTCACTCTCTCAGGTGACCAATTTCTTTCTCCCCCTAGACTGGCCAATTTTTCCCACTTCACTGGGGTTTTCCTGGTTTCAGCAATGAGATTCCCACGTCCAGGAGACCCTTGGTCATGGAGTAACAGGGAGAGTTAGTCACCCTAACACTAGTGTCCTCAAAACGTTAGTGCTGGGGGGACGGGAGGATAAAAAGGCCTGCAAATTGTAACTTCTCTTTGAGATTCACAGCTGTCTTGACCCTGAGAAGCTCTGCAGGAAAGACAATGATTTGCTTTTGTTTAACTTACGTCCTTAAATTAATTGATCGTGGAAGACGCTTCAGCCTGGTGCAGGACCCCAGCCCTTCCAGGGACACGGTGGGAAATGCCGTTCAAGGGACTGCCTGCCTCCCAAAGTGTCGAGCTGGTCTCCCTTCCCAGCCCCTGACCAGTGTGGAGGGTCAGAAAAAACTGGGGCAGAGGGAAGGAAAACAACTTGGCACTGCCTGCTAATCCAGGCTCACATTTGAGCAGCACTTCCCAGGCTGTAGTGGGCCTGGGACCCCCTGGACATGTTATTACAACACAGGATCTGATTCAGTGGGCCAGGGTGGCCCAGATTCTGCAGTTCCATCACACTCCCTGCTGCTGCCGTGGCCGTGGCTGCTTTGGGGACCACAGTTATTGTAACAAGGCTCGCTAGACCAGTGGTTCTCAAAGTGTGGTCCCCACACTCACCTGGGAACTTGTCAGAAAGGTGAATTCTAGGGCCTTACCGCAGACCTACTTAATCAGAACCTCTGGTGGGAGGCCCCGCAGCCCCCGGTGGTTCCAGTGCACACTCTGGTTTGACAGCCGTGCACCCCATCACCTGGGGAGGATTGAGACATTCCAGGGCTGTGCTGGGCACCAGGACTGAGAACCTGCTTACATTAGGAATTTGCCACATTTTCTAAGGAGTAAGTGTTCTAAGGGGTAAGTTTGGTCAGGGTTCTTGAAAAATACTGATGTTGGCTCATGACCAGAGTATCTAGTGCCGGGAGGCACGATTCCCTGCCCCAGTAAGCTGCGGGGGGTCCAGTGGAGTCAACTGGCAAACGTCCTATGACACAGAGTAAAACTACAGGACACGAGAGAGGAGACACCGGTTGGAGGCAAAGGAAGGCAGAGGATGGGCTGAGACCTGAGGGCAGAGAAGCAGCGGTGGAGAGCACGCCGGGCCCAGGGAAGAAGCGCCTCCTCACCTCCGCAGCCCGTACACGTAGCTCACCGACACTGTCTCCACCAGGACGATGAGCAGCAGGGACAGCGTGGCTGCGTAGTCGTTGAATATGTCAAACCAGTAGCTGCCAGCCTCCGTGGTGAACACCAGGCCGATGGCACAGTTGATGAGGCACACCAGACCTGGGGGCCACAAGACCACCTGCTTACCCGCCTGAGACTCCCCCGCCCGTCCATCCAACGTTGTACGGGGCAGCTGGAGCCACAGACCCTCAGGGGACTTTGGCCAATTGGTTCCTCCACCTGGGTTGGAAGAGCTGTCATGGTTTGGCCTCTCTGAAGGTGTGTGCCGTGTGTGGAGGGTGCAGGGGATGCAAAGGTGTCCCCAGGAGTGTCAGCAGGACTCGTGGACATTAATTCACTGAGTTGTCCTGCAGGGGTCAGGGCACCAAGCTCAACGGAAAAGCAAAAAAGTGGTGGGCACTTTCTCTCGGGAATCTCGTGCAGGCTGTGGGTCTGCTGATGCTGTTTGTCCCAACGACTCAGCCCAGAGCTCATGGGAAGTGAGTCCGGGAGGAGACTTGAACACAGGGTACCCCCATCAGGGCTTCCTAGAGGCGACTCGTATCCAACAAGAAGGGGGTGGAGGGGAAGAAACTGTTTACCTAGGTCCTACTGCTTGCCAGGCACCTGCCATGCACTGGATCCTAAGCCTCTGAGGCAGGTATCAGGAGCCCCCTTTCACAGACGGTGGAGCCAAGGCTCAGAGATGTCGAGTAAGTCCCCCACAGCCCCTGGCCCACTAGTGGCAGAGTCAGGATTCTGACACTGGCCCTTCAGCCTCCAGAACCTGGGCTTTTGTCCCGGGCTCCTTTGGCTACCTCCCTCGTACACCCCATCAAGTGATTGAATCCAAAGCTCCCACCTGCCCTTCCCACTGCCACACCACAGACTGCCAGCCTCCAAGCCCCACTACCATCCTGACGGTGACACACATGGGAGCTGGGTTGATTCATCCTGGATGTGGAGGAGTGGGGCCACCAAAGGCCGAGGTGCTGGCCACAGGCTTCTCAGGACACTGCCTGGTTGGAATGGAGCAGGTGGGTGGTGGGTGGAACCCTGAGGACTATGAATGGCTCCTTCCCTAACAACCCAAATGTCCATCGAGAGCAGAATAGATAAAGAAATCTGGTATGTGGTCTTACAGTGCATTATTACACAGTCAGGAAAAGGGACAGGGCATTGCTGCTTGCAACAGCTTGGGTGGCTCTCACAGACAGATTTGAGCGAATAAAGACACAAGGAGATTTCATTTACATGCGCTCCAAGAACAGGAAAAAACCCTCAAATGTAGAAGTCAGAATAGATGTGACCTCTGGGGGTGCATATGGCCAGAGAAGGCGGGGGAGGAGCTCTTGGGGGTGTGGGAAATGTTCTGCATCTTCTAGGTGGGGTGGTTACTAGGGTGGATACTTCTACAAAATTCATTGTGTTTGTACTGAAGATATGTACACTTTATAATCATAACATCAATTAAAACAAATAAGAACAAAAGCAGGTTCTCTCCTAGCCTGGAAAGCTTTGCGTGCCATGTTGGTGAACTTGGCCCTTCCCCTAGGTTGGGGTGGCCTCATTTCCCTGTGATGTGGAGAACGAAATGCAGCGGGTGAATCACAGAGTCCACGTCCCTGACTGCGAGGAGGGAACAAAAGCAGGTTCTCTCCTAGCCTGGAAAGCTTTGCGTGCCATGTTGGTGAACTTGGCCTTTCCCCTAGGTTGGGGTGGCCTCATTTCCCTGTGATGTGGAGAATGAAATGCAGCGGGTGAATCACAGAGTCCACGTCCCTGACTGCGAGGAGAAGCTGGTGGCACAACCGTGGCGAGGTTGCCGCAGCCCTCTGTGGCCACCTCAGCAAGTGCACAGCACCTGAGAATGCTCGTGTGCTGCTCACCCCACGTCCCAGCCTCCCTGCCCTGCCTCCTCAGTGGACTGGCCCACTGACCTGAGATGACCTCCTTGGGCAGGTGGCTGGAAATGACTCTGCTGTCAGTCAGAGGAGTGAGGATGGCTGCCGTGTTCCCCAGCATGCTCCCAATGCCCAGCATCAACAGCATGAAGAAGTACAGCACCGACCACAGCTGGGACACCTCCATGTTTTTAATGGCCTCAGTGTAGACGATGAAAGACAGGCCACTGCCCTGGACGGCCTGCCCATGGTGAGAAGACACCAGTTACACACAGAGGGGACTCACAGTCTCCTTAAACACACCCAGGGCTAAGCAACGTTGGCAGCTTTGGGCCTGGCCATGAGAAGCCACATCCTGAGGTTGGATCTTCCATCTGCAGACCAGCTCCCCAGGCACACGCGGGCTGTATGGAAATAGGGGCTGCTAGGAGCCCATAGATGCAAAGTATGTAGAGAACTTGCAGTCACCCCGAAAAACTGAGTCCTCCTCTCCCTCCCCAACTTATGCAAATTCTGTTTGGATAATTTCAGCTTCCAATGTCATGACTGACTAGGTGTTTTGAGACCTTGGTGGCTGGCACTGACAGAGGTGGTGGGGAGCTGGCTGGGCCAGCAGGCAATCAGGAGGGGCAGGGGTGTCAGCAGCCAGACCCTCGTGCTGGTGACACTGTTGTGGAGATACTCAACTGTGGAAACTGAGCCTGGAACTCCTGTTTAAAGACAAATCCCTGAGGGGTCTGAAAGGGGTTATGGGCTGGGGTGCTCCCTAGCCACCAGCAGAAGAAGCAAAAGCAAACCTTCTCTGGGGTAAAGTTCCCCAATTTAGACCCGCAGGGTCTAAATGAGTGAAACGTCACTGTGAGTGAAGAGTCAGCAGGACTAAGAAGTAAGATTTAGAACACCCTTCCCCAAGGTGGCAGATGCTAAATTGTCAGATTCAGAATTGCTATGGACTGAAAGTGACCCCCCAAAATTCATATGTTGAAACCTTCATCCCCAACGTGACTGTATCTGGAGACAGAGTCTTTAGGAGGTAATTAAGGTTAAATGAGGTTATAAAGGTGGGGCCCTAATTTGATAGGACGGTGGCCTTATAAGAAGGGGAAGAGGGAGACAGCTCTCTCTCCATCATGTGTGACACAGTGAGAAGATGGCTTGTCTATGAACCAGGAAGTAGGACCTCACCAAAAACTAAGCACTGTTGGACCTTTATCTTGGCCTTCCTAGCCTCTAGAACTGTGAGAAATAAATTTCTGTTGTTTAAGCCACCCAGTCTGTGGTATTTTGTTATGACAGCCTGATCAGACTACAGTAAGAATACAGACTAGCTCAATGGCATATGCCAAGAGGCACAGTCAGCCTCAGTTGCAAACAGTAACGAAGTGATCGCTTGTAGAGAATGTAAAAACAATAAAAAACCTACTACATGAGCTAGCAGTTCTAACCCGTGTTAGTGACAAAATACTCTTCCCCACCAGGGTGGGCCACTGTCATTCTCCTGCCCACAGCCACCACTGGAACAGCTATGTATGAAGTGTTTACAGAAATAAAAGATAAAATAAAAAAATAAACATGTAGCAAAAAGCTGTTGGACTGAACAAGTCAATATGTGTGTGGGGGGGAAGTGTCTAAAAATAAAAAATACAGTTATTGAATTAAAAGGCTCAATTGACAGTTAAATACCAGATTAGATGCAGTTGAAGAGAGAATTAGTGAACTGAGATCTATATCCAGGAATGAATCCATAAAGAAAAAAAAAAGGTAAGACATTGGGAAAAATAAAGAGAGGTTAAGAGACCTGTAGGATAGGATGAGAAGGTCTAACATAGGTCTAAATGAAGTTATAAAAAAAGAAAAGAGAAGTAGAGGCAATGATTAAGAGATAATAGGTATAAGTTTTTCAAAATTGATAAGAAACATGGATCCACAGATCCAGGAAGCCCAACCACACCCAAGCCTAGATTGAAAAAATAAAAATACACTCATGCTTAGATTGCACAGGCCAAAGACAGAGGGAAAATCATGACAGAAATCAGAGAGCAGAAAAACTGCTCGCTTACAAAGAATGAAAGAAAATTTCAACAGCAACAACGGAAGCCAGAATCACACGGCAAATACCTTCAATGTGTTGAGAGAAAATAACTGCTAACCTAGAATTTTCTACTCAGGAGAAAAATGTCTTTAAAAAATAGGAGCCAAAAAATTTAAAATTAAAATTAAACAAAAGGGGCCAAATATAGACACTTACATACAAACAAAACCTGAGAAAATTTACTATAAAGAAATCTGCTCTAAAGGAAGGTATTTTAAGGGAAGAAACCCCCAAAGACAGCTGGGATGTAAAAAGGTATGGTGGACAAATAAAAGGGAAAATGTGTAGGCAAACACAAACACTGCCTGATAAAATAACAATAGTGTCCAACTGATGGGTTTAAAAAGACGGAACTGGATCAATCATATTTAATAATTTAAGGAAGAGATGAATTGGAAGTGTCTGCAAGCCCTTGTGCTATTTGGAAGGGAAGTTAAGATATTATCTAAAGTTAGTCTTTCTTATGTCAAATATGCACAGGAAAACTTCAAGAAGAGAAATCAAGTATCCAAATTCCAAACAATAGGGAATAAAGTGGAATGAGGAAAGAAAAAGAACAAATCACAGGGGGAAAAAAAAGTCTAAATAAATCAGTAACCACACACTATAATTCTTGGACATAGAGCCAAGCTCAAAAGTAAGTGAGGAAAACTCCCAGGAGCCAAAACCAAAAAGGAAACTTGAAAGCACTGAACAGGTGCTGAATGGGATCTAGGCCTTGAAGGCTGGGGTTGGGGACTGGGAGTCTGATACCTGCCCAGGGAGGGAAGGTCATACCACAGGCCTGCGTAAGCAGAAAACCAAGGCTGAGCAACCAGGAGGAACAGTGTTGTCTCACCCATGAAATGGCCCAGAATGGCTCCACTCATGAAACAAAGTGCTGAAAATCTCAACCAGCCAAACAGAAAATACCAGCTTCCAAAGCAGCGTGCTAGCAATAAGAGCCATAGGCCCTTCCTGCTCTCTATTACTGAAAAATGTTCTCTACAAACATTCTCTAGAAGTAGTCTCCAGAAGTATTTACATTAAATATCTGAATTGGACAAATATGCCCACTCTTACTTCCACTTCCATTGTGCTGGAAGTCCTAGCGAATACAATAAGAAAATGCAAAATTGTATCTGCAGGTGATAATATAGTTTACATGGAAAACTGAAGCAAATCTATAGAAGAATATGAGAATTAATAAGAGAATTCATTGAGGTTGCAAGATACAAGACCAACATACAAAAACATTTAGCTTTCTTTTGCGACAAAAATAAACAATCATAGGGGGGAAAGAAGACACCATTCACAGCAACAGTAAAACAATAAGGTAATATAAATCTAATAAAAGATGTGCCAAGATATTCATGGGGAAAATTTGCTGAAAAATACAAAGGAAGACTTGAGTGAATGAGAGAAAGCATGTTCCTGAATCAAAAGTTACAATCCAAAAGATATTAATTCTCCCCAAATTACATTATAAAATCAATGCAATCTTAATAAAAATTCCCTAAGGGATTTTTTTTCCAAATAAAACTTGTCAAACTGATCTTGAAATTAATGTGAAAAAAAATAAAGATCCCAGCATGACAAAGATAACTCTGCAAAGTATAAATAAGAATGATTTTAGTAGCAAAATTCTGCTAAAAAGACAAACAAATCCAAATGTCTATTAGTAAGGAAATGGGTAAATAAATTGTGATATATATATATGTAACGGAATAAAATGTAGCATTTAAAATGAATGAATAAAATTCCACATATATTATTACGAACAGATCTCAAAATCAAAATGTTGAATGAGAAAAATATCTTCCAGGACCACTATGTCCATTTAAAAACTGCCAACAAAACAATAATATTTTTTAAGAATACATATATGGGCAATAAAAAATGTAAAAATTAAGGTTCTTTCCTTTGGTGAGTGTAGGGAAAACTTGGGGCAAGTAACAGAGGGGACTTTAACTTTGTCCCTGAAACATTCTTTTCCTCTATATAAAACAATCTGAACCCAAAATGACAAAATGTTTCCAATTGTTCATTCTGAGTGGTGGATATAAGCATTTGTTATATTATTTTCTGCACTTTCCTATATTTTTAAAACTTAAAAAGAGCAAAAGAAAAGGAAGAAAGGGCACAGAGAACCCAAAGGACCTTGAAATAACAAGGATCCAGAGCAGCTCCTGGGGAGAGTGGTGGTCAGATCTCCCTTCTCTGAGTTGCAGGGAAAATAATTGACCCTTGATTTTCATGGACTGTGCATCTCTCCAAAGTCAGCAGCTCTCATAGGTTCCTATGAAGTGTGTGAAGAGAAGCAAGCCCATGATCTAGCCCATGACCTTGCCCTCGACCTTGCCCGCAACCTTACCGTGCCTAGCTCCGATTCCAAGCTGCAGTTTCTAATTTGTGGGAACACCTCACTGTATTTGCTTGGGTAGGTTGATGCGAGGTGGCCCTTCACCTCCTCCAGGTTGCTGGCTGTCAAAGAGCCTTCTTCAAGGTCAAAATAATTGGTCAGCAACAGAATCACCCTGTAGAGCAGACCATCAGATTGACCTTCACTGATAAGAAAGGTTGCTGTCCCCAAAACCTCTCAGAAGCTTGGGCACAAAGGCTGCTTTCCCATCAGCCTCTTTTGATGAAGTGAGAAGAGCGAATCTGTTGATTGGTGACCCTTTTAAAGGACAGGGTAATTTTGAATGGCTTTGAAGATATGGACTGTGATGACAATAGGAATCAAACCTCCACAGCGAGGCTATTTTAACCTCTGGACCAGCGTAGTGGTCCAGTTCTGTGATAGTGGAAATGTTCTATATCTGTGCTGTCCAATTTGGTACCCACTAGCCACATGTGGCAAATGAGCACTTGAATGTGGCTAGTGCGACTGAGAAACGGATTTAAACTAATTTTTAAAAAAATGTAAATCTAGTTTGGCTGGTTAGCTCAGTTGGTTAGAACAGAGTGTTGTAACACACAGGTCAAGGGTTCAGGCTGCAAAAAAAAGAAAAAGAAGTAAATCTATTTAAATACAAAATATTTAAATGTAAATGAAGTTATTTAAATGTAAGTTACTTTATATTTAAATTTGTAACTAGCCACTTGTGGCTAGTGACTAGCACACTTTCTAAATATGTTCTTGTATTTTTGGGTAAGGGGCTACAGAAAGTAAACTCAGTAATCGCTATGGCTCAGCTAGAGAGAGCTTGGTTACTTTTGAGGTAGGGGAGATGGGGCAGAAGAAACTAAAATTTGTTTGTTGAATCCCTGTTATCTAAGTGCTTTGAACACCTTAAACCAACCTCAGTCTGTGGGGCAGACATGACTTGCCACTGGTGGGGGCGGAGACCAAATTTGAATCCTAGAACGAGGACTCCAAACTGGTGCTCTCTGCCCCACCCTTGACTTCTTGGCGTCCACCTCTTCCCGGCTGCCCCTTTCGCTCAGAGCTCCGGGGACTCACCTCCCCATGTGAGGCCCCGGACTCAGTGGGACAGCCCAGGCTTACTTGTTCAAGCAGTCTTCGTAGTTGAAGGTGGCCTTGAAGCCGTAGATGGAGAAGGTCACGATGCTGGCAAATATGGAGGTGCTGCTGTTGATGAGGGCCACGATGATGGCATGCTTCTGGCAGTTGCTGGAGAGCTCATTGTAGCTGGCAAAGGCAATCAGGCTGCCGAACCCCAGGCCAAGTGAGAAGAAGATCTGGGTGGCTGCGTTGATCCAGGCCTTGGGGTCGGCCAGCTGTTTGACCTGGAAGGCCAGCAGGGACGAGGCCGATGAACCCTGGGCCAGCACCCCAAATTCTCAGACCCACAACGGGAGGAAGGCCGAGAGAGGGGAAGGAACTTGCCTAAAGTACACAGCCAGCTAGGGGCAGGCTGGAGCCCAGCTTTCCTGGCTCCTGGCCTGCACCCTGCCCATTCCCCAGCAGATGAAACACATGGCATTCCTCATGTCAAATCCTCCACAGCACCTTACCCATAGGAGGTGTGCAATTGAACACTGTAGAGTAAAATAATTCAAAACATGTCAGTCCTCTGATTCACAAGCCAGGCACTGCACAGGCCTGGGCATTCAGAGATGGAAGTGATGTGACTTGGCCAGGCGGCAGAGGTCTAGGTCTGCATTGAATCCCAGCACTGATGTCAGGGAGCCTTTGGAATGTGGGGGGGCATTTTTGTGGATGCTATAGTCACTTTGTTCCTGGGACTAGATGTACTGAATGGAGAATCTGTCCCACTCCAAAGGCAATGGCACCAACCCCCCAACCCAATGAGCACTGGCTGTGGGGTGCCTGGAGAGGGGGTGGATTGGGAGGGGATCATGAAAAACCCCATAGGGACAGGGGTGTGTGGCAACATGTGAGCAGCCAAGTGAGATGACTGGAGCCACGCTTGTGCTGAACATTGCAGTGAACAGTGTAAAAGGGGTTGGGGGAGCTTGGGGCAGGAAGCCAGAAGGGAGCTGGCAGCTGTCAGTCAGGGGACAGTGGGCACAGGGACAAGGGGCTGGAAGAAAGATATAATTAACAGGGCCTGGGACTAGCTGGCTGAGGAGGGGATCCAGGCCCACAGGTGATCCACAGCCCTCATCACAGCCTAATGGGCTCAGCCAGCCTCCCTGGTACAGCTTACACCCACCCTCCATCTTCGCATTTGCACCCACCCCAGAAGGTGGCAGGATGAGTGGGAGGCGCCCCAGGGCCCCCTTTCCTCCAGCCTGTACCTTAGGAGTGAACATGTACATCAGGCCGTTGGTGGCTCCGTGGAGCGTGAGGCCCCTGACCAGGTAGACGATGAGCACACAGTAGGGCAGCAACGCAGTGAAGTACACCACCTGTGGGCCAGAGGGCACAGTCAGCTCCCGGAGGGGGGCCCGCAAGGCCACGCCACACCTCTGGGGTGTCCGGGCTGTGTTCTCCAGCTGCTGATGGCTACAGGAGGCATTGATATTCCTGGTCGGAGACAGGGTTTGAGTTTGGGCTGGAGGAGAGGGTGGTGGGCTGTGGCTGCCCACGTCCAGAACCACCAGGAAAGCTATTATTCAGGAGGGGAAAGAAATGGGTACCGAGGCTCTGCCCTCCACCCTCCCTTCAAACCTACCACATTCCAGAAGGGACAGGAGGCTTCCCAAAGACATATACCCATCACATTAGCATTTTGAAATTGCTAGATCAAGAAATCAGCGTGAAAAGAAAATATGAGCAATCCAGTTCTGAGCCCGAAGAAAAGGGCAGCCCACAGAGCATGTTTGAGTCTCTACCTGGTCAAATCCAGCTCTGAGCCTCCTAGTGGCCTAAGCAAAGCGGGAAGCACAATCACGCACATGTTTTATATTGTCTCTAAAAGAGAAAAATAAATCAGGGACTTGGGGAGGAACAGGCTTCCCCTAAAACTGGGGCCTGAGAGAAGATTGGCCATGAATGCTCAAAGGAAAAGTACTGAACTGTAGCGCAGGGGACAATGTCCCCGTAATAAACACAATAGGGAATTCAATGAATCTGATTTTGATGGCAACCTCATAAAAGAGCTTTACAATAACACATAAATGGAATTTTTTGTCAACCAAATCTTCTATTGACATGAATCATAATAAGAGCTTTACAATAACACATAAATGGAATTTTTTGTCAACCAAATCTTCTATTGACATGAAATCATGATTTAAGTTTTTTTTTTTT